TGGCACCGTAGAGTATTTGTCCTTTGTGTTTGTTTTGTTTCATTTGGCATGTTTCCAAAGTTAATCCATGTTGCAGTATGTATCAATGTGGGTCATTTTTGTGTCACCTGGTGGAAGTATTCACCCTTTGTAAATTAAGATCTCTTATAAAATATCAAAGCCCAAAGTTGCATGTTTGGGTGGGTGGGGGGGAACCCGGTGAGTGGGTTGGTAGATGGTAAGGTTATTAGAGGCTGTGTTAATAGAGAGAGGCCACTTCCACTTCCATCCTTTATTTCCTGGATCTGTGTATGCGGGATATAGTAAATGCTAGTCTCCAGTTCAGAGCTTGTACCTTGCGCATTGGGAAAGGCTCGGGGAAGTTTACAGTGTGTACTTGTGGTGGTGCCTCAAGGAGTCAGGGAGTCTGGGAACTGATGGGAGGGTATGACTTCATGTTTTAGAGACTTAAGTAAGGATTCTGCTCACCAGACTTGGAGTTTTTCTGTTTTTTTGTCAGTTTGGTTTTTTTGGTTTGTTTGTTTTTGTTGCTGTTGTTTAGACCAAATAATGCTTTAGAATCGCTTCTCCAATATGGTGGCCATTAGCCACATGTATCTTTTGAGCACTTGAAATGTGACTAGTCTGAATTAAGATGTGATACAAATACACACTGGATTTCATAAACTTGGTACAAAAAGGTGTAAAATATCTAAAAAAAGTAAAATAGCTCACTAATAATTTTTCATGTTGATTTTATGTTGAAATAAAGAATCTTGGATATATTGGGTTAAATGTTAAAATTAATTTCACATATTTATTTTTACTTTTCAAAATATTGCTACTAGAAAATTTTACACAAAATTTAAAATTTCTTGCCTTATATATCTACTGCATAGCACTGCTTTAGAAGACTGCCCATCTCTTTAATTCCCAGGTACACAAGGATCAATTAGATACCACCACAAATACCTGGAGGTCAAATGCTATGATTACTATTGTGCTCCAGCCATCCATTATAGAAACTGTGCTCACCTTGTCTCTACTGGTTAATTGCTACCACTTGGCCTTTGCTACTCTGGAATTTCACCATTTTGATTGAGGTTGGCGAGTCCATCTCAATTATGACATATCCCACCATTATCTTTACCATCTACTATTATCTCTGGTATATAGAGGTTAGCTGCTAGAGCTTTCTAAGGGTGCTTTTGTTGGCCAGTGTATGTTAGAGCACTTTAATTAGGAAAATAATGTCCTTTGGGCTCTCAAAGAGGATGCAGTTGGCGAAAGGGGAGGTTTTGGTTTGCTTGTAAAAAAAAGCACTCCCATCTTCTTTTCTTTTCTTTTATTTTTTAAATATTTATTTATTTATTTGGCTGCGCCGGGTCTTAATTGCGGCACACAGGATCTTCATTGCCACATGGGGGATCTTCACTGTGGCATGCGAAATCTTTTTTTAAATTAACTAATTAATTAATTAATTTTTATTTTTGGCTGTGCTGGGTCTTCATTGCTGTGTGCGGGCTTTCGCTAGTTGCAGTGAGCGGGGGCTACTCTTCGTTGCGGTGCGTGGGCTTCTCATTGTCGCGGCTTCTCTTGCTGCGGAGCTGGGCTCTAGGCACGCAGGCTTCAGTAGCTGTGGCACGTGGGCTCAGTAGTTGTGGCTCGTGGGCTCTAGAGCTCAGGCTCAGTAGTTGTGGCTCACGGGCTTAGTTGCTTTGCGGCATATGGGATCTTCCTGGGCCAGGGCTCGAACCCGTGTCCCCTGCATTGGCAGGTGGATTCTTAACCACTGCGCCACCAGGGAAACCCCCATGAGGGATCTTTAGTTGCGGCATGTGAGCTCTTTTAGTTGCAGCATGTGGGATCTAGTTCCCTGACCAGGGATTGAACCCAGGCCCCTTGCATTGGGAGCGTAGAGTCTTAGCCACTGGACCACAAGGGAAGCCACCACTCCCATCTTCTTAAGTCTGCATATTATATCAGGAAAGTACCGGCATTTTGACTTTATTAAGTGATGCAGGCTGATGTTGAATTCAATTTACAGTCACCCATTCTGAGCAAACTGTTACAGCTAGCTTATTAAATCCAAATCAAGCCTATATATGTTCTGCGGGTTCCTTCTATTACAAGATTAGCAAGATTTGGCAGTCCTTTTGCTATAGATGCTATCTTCTCCCAGAGAAGACTGCATTTCTCCCCTTGTGGCTTACTGAGGTCTGAGTCTATCGATGGCAACAAAGAGGTGAAAGTGGTTCTTGCACATCTTGTTGCAAGACAGCTATTTCAGTTGTGGTCCTCACTAAGTCTTAAAGCAAGGGAAGGTCAAGTAGCTCAGACAGGGAGAAGAGGCTGCTGTTGTTGGGAGAAGGGGTGTTCAGAGGAGATTGGAAGTTCACAGTTTTCAGGATTGTCTAATTCCAAAAGTCCTCATCCATCGCCTTCCTTTCTACCTAATGCCCAGCTGATATATACCATCTTAACATTAGAAACTTGTTGAGGCTCTTTATTCAACTTGTATTTTAATTCTGCATTCCCCATAATTAGATTTTCCATCTGGTCTTTAGCCTTGTCTGCCATGGGGCTATGAGAAATAAGAGATTCTTTAAAGTCAACGTAGAAACTCTCTGGCTTTCTGACTGTCTTGAGCTGAGATTCTAGAACCCTGGGATTACCTTTTCATTTTTGTAAATTCTCTAGCATAGTTAGATTTAGCCTTCCCATGCCATGGGTCTTGTAGTAAACAAAACTGCCATGTTGGTCAAGTGCAGTTGCTACTTCATTTCCCAAAGGCTTGAACTCAACTGGCACTTTATTTTAAACAATTGCACATGATAATGTAAATAATTGTGATCCCACTGGAGGCCATGGATCACTGCAAAAGTATCTCATTTCTACCTGCAAAAAGGTCTTCATTGTATTTAGGCTCATATAGGTTTACCACAAAATATCAGAAACCCATCTTGAGGCTATTTCTGATACCAAGAGTAATATCATTTGGTGTCCAAGTGGAATTGATTACACAAGTACCAGAAGAGGTAAAAAGACAAATAGGGGATGTTAAGGTAACCCAGAGGGTAGCAACATTAGGAAGTTGCTTTCATTCCTAAGGTTGAAAAAAGCTAGCTATCCAGAAGGATTTGCAGCCACAGGGAAGACAGATGCTGCTCAGGGTAGATCTAGAGAGGGACAAATACCCTGGCTTCTCCTTTCCTGTCCTCACATATACCACAAGTGCCTCTCATTGATCCAAACTCCCAAGAAGCCAGTGGGCAGGGAAGTCTGGCACATGTAGTTCCTAGAATATGGAGTAGAGCTGGAGAAGGATGGGGGAGGGGGTGTCTGAGGGCAAACAGGTAAATGACTGGCACAACTGGGAATGCCCAAATGTTACCAACTTTATTCCTGGGCAGGGAGGGATGGCGTGATTCTGAAATAAACGGAGTTATCTTGAAGATGTAATAAAGGTTTTATGTTTTTTTCCATTAACTTATTGAAAGATATTTGTAAATTCTTATTTTGTGAGTATAAGTGTGCTGAAGACATTTACTTTTCTAACATTTATAAAAATGGAAATTTTTTTTTTATATATGTTAAAAAGAGTGTAACTCCTGCTGCACTCTACATATTAACTGCTACTTACGGTAATTTCTGATGTTGCCCTTTAGAAATCCTTTTTGTCTTTTCTTATATGGTAATTGGACCATCTATTCCTAGCCTGATATAGTAGCTTGATGCTTTCCCATATGATATCTTCCTAGCATTCTCTCTCATCCATCATTTCTTTCTCTCCCTCCAGCAAGAAGTAATTTTGCTTTTCTTTGAACTATCATAACATTTTTACCTCTTTCGTAAAACTAATCCCTTATGACTTTCTATAGCATTTCATTACTGGAGATCAGGGGCTCTATAATGTTTGTTTTTATATCTTTCACTGTACTTGACATGTAGCAAGTATTTAATATCATTTAATGAATCATTGATTAGATCATAGAATTTCGGAGTGGGAAGGGACTTTATAAATCATCTGGTTCTAACTCTCTGACCTGTCTCCTGTCACACTACTTCATGGAAGGATATTAGATAAATTAAATCTAGTTATTAACTATCTGGTTATCTAAATAGTAGATAAATTAGATATTCGTTCATTAAAATCCCTGTAAAACAGGCACTTTTATTACTTTATGCTCTATGAGTAATGTCATAATCCAGATAAATAATATAGACAATATTTACCAAAATTTGATACTATTTGCTGCTTTTTTTAAGGCATTTTATTTTATTTTTTTTAGTTTATTTTTTTGGCCGCACTGTGTGGCATGTGGGACATTAGCTCCCTGACCAGGGTTCGAACCTGTGCCCCCTGCATTGGGAGTGCGGAGTCTTAACCACTGGACTGCCAGGGAAGTCCACCATTTGCTTCTTGATTTCAATTAGGGTTTAGGAGTAGAGGAGAGAATGAATTTTTTTTTTTTTTCCGGTATGTGGGCCTCTCACTGTTGTGGCCTCTCCCGTTGCGGAACACAGGGTCCGGACGCGCAGGCTCAGCGGCTATGGCCCACGGGCCCAGCCGTTCCGCGGCATGTGGGATCTTTCCGGACCGGAGCACGAACCCATGTCCCCTGCCTCGGCAGGCGGACTCTCAACCACTGCGCCACGAGGGAAGCCCAAGAATGAATTTTTAAGTTCTTACTGTATGTCATGCATTTTTTTCACTTCTTAGGTATGACTTTTTCTGATTAAAACCTGTGATTTCTCTTTACTTTTAATAAGACGTGCATATAAGAATTAAAAAATTTTTTTCTCTAGTGGATTCTCTAAAATAAGAAAATTAATGAATGTTGTTTGCTGAGTAAGGCTAGTGCTTCTTTTCCAGTCTTTTATAAAGTATAAATGTGTAAATTCTTGTCTTATAAATATTATAGAAACAAATTTCTCTAAGAAAATGTTTGAGTGCATGATCTCATAATCTTGGAGACATATTTTTATATTGGTTCATGATATCAGAAGTCTGTTTTTAGCTGGCAAGCTACGAGAGCCAGATTGCCAAGCTACGATCCGAGGTTGAAAAAGGAGAGGCATTGCGACAAAGTCTGGAATATGACCTGGCTGTTGCTAGAAAGGAAGCTGGACTCGGAAGGCGGGCTGCTGAAGAAAGATTAGCGGAGGCACATAGGATCCAAGAAAAACTCTGTGGTAAAACTATTTCTATTTCTTTCCATGTTTGTAACGTCATTGTATATCATTGCTCCCTGTTGTGTATGCATTCCATATAGGATCAGAGGTAGGGTTTTGATTTCTTTGACTGGCCTTTGATGGACAGACTTTGCTGTGTGTGTATGTCTTCTGGCAATTATGTGAACATTCATTTACTTTACCTTACATTATTTTTTTTGTACAAGTATAGAAAAATGGTTTGAAAATTCTGTTAATCACTTTTTAGAGCACTTGTTTCATGAATAATCAGCAGAATCATATAGAGATTTTAAAAAAATTCATAGGCCTCCTATCACATGTAATCTGAAACAGAATCTCTAGCTTGAGAAAATCTGTATGTTCAAGAAGCACTGCAGGTGATTTGTTGATTAGCTAGGTTTAGGAACCACAGAGTATAATATATATAAAGAAGTGTGCCTAGAAAAGTGTATGACTTATAACCAGCACCTGGGTCATGAAATGGAAAATTACCAGAAGTCCTCCACATAGATAACTGCTATCCTGATTTTTAATAGCAATAATTAATTTTGCCTCTTTTTCGTACTTTATATGAAAGGAATCATATAGTATGTACTCTTTTGTATCTGGCTTCTTTTCTTCAACTTTGTGCTTGTGAGTTCATTCCTATTGTCATATGAACTTCATATTGATGTTTAGTATTATATAGTGTGAACATACCACACTTATATTCATCCATTTCTATTGGTAGTGGGTAGTGTCTGTTTTTTGTTTATTAAGAATAGTGTTGCCCTGAACATTCTTATACTCAGCAGGTTTTAATGAAGAGAACACTGAACGTGAATTCTGAAGATTTAGATTTAGGTCCTGATTCTGCCACTTACTGATACTTGAACCTAGGTTGTTTTAAGGATGAAATGAGAAAATAAAAGTGCTTTGTTAACTGCATGGGGCCAAGAGAATGTCCCGTTATAATATTATAAAGGTTACGATCCCTAGTCTTGGCCTGGCCATTGGTCAAAAATACTTTTGATTACCTTTGGCATTTAATTACTTAACTACTATCTGGAACTTAGGATTATAAGACTTGAAAGGCACTAGATGTACAAGTTAATGACTTTTATTTAATTATGAGGAAGTTGAAGTCCAGGGAAGATGGGAAGTTACTTGCCCAAAGTCAAATGATTTCAAGACACTTTACAGAGGAACATAGAAGAATGGCCGTTAATCATATGAAAAATGCTTACCTTCATTTGTCATCAGAGAAATGCAAACTAAAACCACAGTGACTGTCACTGCATACCCATCTGATGGCTCTCATTGAAAGGACTGTCAATACCAAATGTTAGTTAGGTTGTAGAGGAACTGGAACTCTTATACTTTGTTAGTGAGAAAGTGAAATGGTACAAATACTTTGGAAAAAAACTTGGCAATTTCTTTTAAAATAAACATATATTTATCCAGTGACCCAGAAGTTTCACTCTTTGGTAGTTTCTCTGAGAAACATTTGTCCACAAAAGACTTGTATAAGAATTTCATAGCAGCTCTATTCATGGCAGCCCCAAATTGGAGAGAAACCCCAAATGTCCATTGACAGAAGAATGAAGAAACAATTTTTGTATATTCACTCAATGAAATATTACTAAGCAATAAAAATGAACCAAACTACTGATACATTCAATAACATGAGTGAATCTCAAAAACATTATGCTGAGTGAAACTTTACACAGAAGAGGACTTCCTGTATGATTCCATTATATGAAATTCTAGGACAGAAAAAACTAGTCGTTGGTGAAAAAAAAATCAGAACAGCGGTTACCTCTAGGATGGGTTGGCAGTGAGGACTAACTAGGAAAAGTAGGGGGAAACTTTTCTGATTGAAGGAAATTTTCTGTATTTTGATAGGGGTTTTGGTTACATGAGTGTATGCATTTGTCAAGTCTCTTTGAATGGAGCACTTAAGATTTGTCCATTTCACTATATGTAAATTTTACCTGCAAAAAAAATTGAATTCTATATTATTGATATGAATGCTTAATTATTCAGCAGTGAAATGTACTTTTGTTTGCAACTTGTTTTGAAATGCATAAAAAAGTATGGTCTGATGGATGAAATAAATGAGTGGATGCATGGATAGATGGATGAATGTGTGGTAAAGAAAATACATACGGCAAAATGTTAACAATCATAGAGTCTAGTCTGGGCTTTACAGGTGTTCATTTTACAATACTTTAAACTTTATATGTATGATAAAATATTGAGGGTAGAATAAAAAACAGCCTGATGGAGTTATGGGATATTAAAAGAGATAATCTCATAATGATTGAGAGAGGAGACAAGATAACAGAGAAAATTTTCGAAGCTGGAAAATGAATGGATGAGGGATAACTGACTTAGCAGACCTGAGACATCAGAATCCTAAGCCAGGGGTTGGGAAAGCTGGCACACAACTTGCTAGATAATCAAAGGCTTATGAACTGGAAGCACCAGCTACCTTTGGAATTAGGAATTGGAATAGCAGAAGTAAAATAAAGAGGGTTAGATGAAATCTGTTTGCTCTAGAGGCACTTAGGTTCTTAGATCCCCTTCCCAAGAGTATGATATTCTGGGATTGCTCCCACTTCCTAGTGTAATTCGGGGGGCTTAATATCTGGAGATGATAAAATACAGGGTCTCCAGACTGGCAAAAACAGGAAGATAACATACTCAATGTTAAATATTGAGGAACTATTCCTTCCAGCTTCCTTTTTTCTATTGAGTTTCCCAAAAGCTAGCACTGAGATTTCTACACTTCACGTGGGAGCTTGGAAAACTCTTCCATGGGTCATCTGACCAAGCCAAGAGGAAAAACCTAATGATGCTGATGTTGGGGATTTCCTAATAAATGGCCTACTTTTATCAGACCACAGTTATCAAGTTTCATCCTGAAGCTCAGAATCTAGGTAGTGGTTATGTGGATGTATAAAAGGTATGTCACCCTTACAGTTACACTTAATTGGGAGCAGGCAGCCAAGAATTAGCAGATACTCGTGGAAAGCCTCTAAAATGGAGAGAAAAAAATAATTTGGAAGAATCAGAAACTCTGCAAGGAGAAGATTTAACAAATAAGCATTATTAATATCCTCAGAGCTGAAAAAGAATATATTCCATCCATGATGCAAGAACCAGGTGGTGTAAAAAAAAGAAAACTCTTAGAAATTAAAAATGTGAAATCAGGTGCTTGCTTCGGCAGCACATATACTAAAATTGGAACGATACAGAGAAGATTAGCATGGCCCCTGCGCAAGCATGATACGCAAATTCGTGAAGCATTCCATATTTTTGGAAACAACCTAAGTGTCCATCATCGGATGAATGGATAAAGAAGATGTGGCACATATATACAGTGGAATATTACTCAGCCATAAAAAGAAACAAAATTGAGCTATTTGTAATGAGGTGGATGGACCTAGAGTCTGTCATACAGTGTGAAGTAAGTCAGAAAGAGAAAGACAAATACCGTATGCTAACACATATATATAGAATTTAAGAAATAAAAATATCATGAAGAACCTAGGGATAAGATAGGAATAAAGACACAGACCTACTAGAGAATGGACTTGAGGATATGGGGAGGGGGAAGGGTAAGCTGTGACAAAGTGGGAGAGTGGCATGGACATATATACACTACCAAACGTAAAATAGATAGCTAGTGGGAAGCAGCCACATAGCACAGGGAGATCAGCTCGGTGCTTTGTGACCACCTAGAAGGGTGGGATAGGGAGTGTGGGAGGGACAGAGACGCAAGAGGGAAGAGATATGGGAACATATGTATGTGTATAACTGATTCACTTTGTTATAAAGCAGAAACTAACACACCATTGTAAAGCAATTATACTCCAATAAAGATGTAAAAAATATGTGAAATCAGAAATGAAAAATATCAGTAGAAGCATTGGAAGATGAAGATGGAAGAAATATCCCAAAATTAGATTAAAAAAGGCAAAGGTGGAAAAATAGGAGAGAAAAGGCAAGAAACTTTGAGGGCCAATCTGAATAATAGGTAATATTGAAAGAAAGAGATAAGAGAGAAAACAGAGAGGGATAAATGAATCAATGAAATTACTTTAAAAAAATCTCAGAGCTGAAGGATATGAGTTGCCAGATTGAAAGGGTCCACAGAATATTCACCACAGTGGAAAAAAATAGACCCATGTGAAGGCATAGCATTATGAAATTCCAGAAAAATAGAGACCAAAAAAAGATCCTAAAGCTTTCAAAGAGAAAAGGAAAGGAAAGGAAAGAAAAATAAACCAGATGCAAAGGAACAGGAATCAAAATGGCCTCAAACTTTTTACCTGCAATACAGGATACTAAACCATACAATAATGTCTTGTAGAGAGAGTAACTGGATGGGAGGGAGACTTTTTGTACCTTTGATAATAACTTGTATTTTGAACATATGATCCATTCAAAACACAAATATAATTTAAAAATAATACTACTAACTGGCTTTTTTTTTTTTGGTTTGTTTAACAAGTATGTTTGTACATATTTCCTCATTTTTATCTTTACAACAACTTTATTCCCACTGAGGGTTAGAGAGTCAAGGAGGTTTAATCAGGTGATAGGTGATGGAGCCAGACCTGGAAGCCTTTCATCACTTCTTTCTAGGTGCTGAGGCAAACAGCACCCATAGTGAGTTGGGAAGTGATGGTTATTGTTGAGGTAATACTAGGATGAGAGGTGAATCGAGCCTAACTTTGGGGGAGTAAAGAGCTATAGTTCTAGGGTTCCCAACCTCAATTTTGTGACAGTATCAAGTGTAAGATATGCCACAACTAACTTGTTGCCAAGTCAAAAATCAAAATTTGTAATCTATCAAGTCTTTTTAAAAAGTAGCCCTATTATATGTCACACTTAAAAAATTTTTATTTTCTTGAATAGGAGAAAAAGCATTTGAGTTGCAGCTGGTGCATCTAAACTTGGGTGTGCCTCTAGGAATATGTCATAACAATTTCACAGCAAAATCACCTCTGTCTGGAGGGGAAGAAGAGATTGAGAAATTGTAGAATAGATTGGTTTTGGGACAGGAACTTTTCAAGAGTTCACTGGTATGAAGTGGTTAAATGTTTTGTCTTAATATCATGCTGTAATTGAAAGCAGCTCCAATGCCTAGGTTTCTGAACTCCTACGGTTTTAATTTATGGTTGTAAATGTACCTATTATTCTTTTATATTTTTAATAGCTCAGAATGCAGAACTTCAGGGAAAGGCAAGTGGGATGGAGAAAGCATTCCAGACTTCCCAGCAGAAATGGAAAGAAGAATGCAGAAGATTTGAATGTGATTTGGAGGAAAGAGACAATATAATTCAAAACTGTGATCAAAAATATGATTTACTTATGAAAGAAAAAAGCAGACTAGAGAAAACTGTACAGGTAAAATATTTTATGAAGGAATTTTTTAATATTTAATATTCATTATATGTATTATACATTATTTGAAGTTATTTTTGGAAAGGAAAATACCAGAAAGCAAGAAAATCTAATTTCTTCCCCCCCCGCCCAACTCCCTTCCTTTCTCCCTCTCTTCTTTCCTTTTTAGGGGCATTTTTGCAGGTCTATTTTTTATATGCTTTAGCAATATATTAATATATATATATATATTGTTTCTTTTGTGAAAAACAGTTTGAGATCTCTGATCAAAAAAAAAACCAACTCACTTATATGGGAATACTGTAATAAGATAAGAACCCACAACCCTTTTGGTCCAGCAACATGAAAATTTGTAATTTTAAAAATGTGGGCCCCAGATTTTGACCTGAATATGCAATAAATATAGAAAAATTTTTATGTATCTGATGTAAACTTCATTATCTGTGTAGGGTACATTCTATATAGGCACAGTATATAAATATTTGATGACCTTTTATTGAAATTATTGTGAGCTATTTATTCTCCCATTTTTTGTTCCTTTTTAGTCTCTAAAGTAAAAGTATGGTTTAATGTTGAAGTTGCCACCCACTTAAAAGATAGATTTTGAATTGTCTGTATTTGCCACTTTTTGGAAGTACCAATTTAAATTTAAAAATACATGATAGGGCTTCCCTGGTGGTGCAGTGGTCAAGAATCTGCCTGCCAATGCAGGGGACACAGGTTCGAGCCCTGGTCCAGGAAGATGCTGCGGAGCAACTAAGCCCGTGTGCCACAACTACTGAGACTGTGCTCTAGAGCCTGTGAGCCACAACTACTGAAGCCCGTGCTGCGCCTAGAGCCCGTGCTCCGCAATAAGAGAAGCCACCGCAGTGAGAAGCCTGCGCACCACAACTAAGAGTAGCCCCTGCTCGCTGCAACTAGAGAGAGCCCGTGTGCAGCAACAAAGACCCAACTCAGCCAAAAATAAATAAATAAAATTACATGATAAAAATGCTCTACATTTACCACTGGTGTAAATGGCTTTTCAGAATATTGGAAATAAATCTTCACTAAAAATAATTTTACAAAAACATTTGTTAAATGTAAAAGTTTCAGCACAAAGGTTCCCTGACCTTGTCAGCATATCTCCTTTTGATTTCCTGCATGTCAACAGTCACAGTTTTCTCTTCTCTTTATTGTAATATTCCTAGACCCTGGAACAGTGCCTGGCATATACAAGGGCTCCATTAGTATTTGAATGGGGGGAGTTTAGGTGGCACCTGGAACTACAAGTCCCTGAACTGCTTTGTATAAACTTCTCCACATGAAATGTCTAGAGCTATGGGGAAAGAGGGTAATGGTGGCAGCAATCCTTATAGTCAATCAGCCTGCATCTCAAGATCTCTTTTATAGATCTTGATGTGACCTTCATCACCTGTTTGGTAGGAGAACTTTGCTTTGATTTTATACAATTGGCTTTGAACTAATCTGCACAGAGACCTTTGGGGGTGAAGAGGAGTCACTCTTTTGCCCTAAGGGGAAAAAACCTCAAGGCTCCTCCTGTTGCCTTTCCATTAGTGAAAGTTGGGAGGGCAGTCTTTATTATGCAGAACCACGCTACAGTTTATAAGGACACAGGAGGCTTTCCCTCTGTCTCATATAAACCACAGAATCTTTCTCCTTGTGTTAATGCAGACTTAGTTTAAAACCCTATAGTTTAGAAGATTGGGCTTCTTGGGAAACCTGCATTTTATACTTCTGAGATTTTGAACCAGATTAGATCTTGTAAATGTAGTACAACTCGGAAAACCCCAGAAGAAAAACCTCTTGCAAATATTGTTTATCTGTAGAACTAGAAATTAGTTAATAGTCTAAACCTAAAAAAATTTTTTTGACTTTTCAAATTTTTAACATTCTAGAGTTTCCTTATACTGATTTGTTGCACAAAACTCCTCCTTCTCCCCTTTGGTAAATACAGTGTTCTTTGTCAGATTTATGTATAAATTATCAGGGATAATCCAAATAGTATTTCTATAGCTAATTAGAGCTTTCCATATTATCTCCTTTACATATAGATTACATATTTGCCAAACAATCTGCTTTGTTTTGTCTCTATCATATGATGCATTTTGTTCAATCCCCAGCAGTTAAATTTTTTGGAAAAATTGGGTTAAATATCTATATCTATTTATATCTATCTATCTGTCTATCTATATATATATATGAAATGTTGCTTAAATTAAATGGGTAACCATAGCTTCTTATTCACATATACATTGTGATGACCAAAATATAATTATTCTATTAATTAATGATTTTAACATAAATTATAATGAGTTTTAACAGTCTGTATAGGTAAGGAGAGCCCTATGTATATTTAAATTGTGGATGAAGGAAGAAAGATAGCTTTTATTGATCTAATACTAAAACAAGATTTTATTCACGTAAAGGAAACGTTGGAAAAACATCAGCAGGAGAAGAATGAGATGGAGTCTCATATCAGGAAGACAGCATTGGAGGAATTTAGATTACAAGCAGAACAATGGGAAGCAGAAAGAAGAGAGTTACAATTTATAGTACAGGTATTTTAAAAATAATAATAAATATGTCATTTTAATGCTTATGAAATTAAAAATTACCTTAGTGTGATAATTGACTCACTTACTCAAGGAAAAAATAATTCCTAGTCTTTGCTCTCTGGAAGGCCATGTTTCATTTGTAGTTACATGACAATATGGGCAACTGTTTCCAAAAGATACTATTAGAATTGGGTGACTTCTGCATAAATTATTTGATTTTTAAAGGACACCTATACATTTGGCATTTAGTTTTCCAGTTTAAAATATGAGACTGTTAGCAGCCTTTAACAACATAAAGAAATAGAATAATCAGATTTTGGTATTAGAGGATGCTTATAAATCATATAATATAGTGATTTTTTTGGAACTCTTTTTAAGAAGTGCAAATTCTTAATCATGTTCTTTTAACCTCTTCCCCGCAAAATCACAGAATCCCCCAGGCTTCAAGTAGTCCAATTTGAAAATCACTGATTACATCTAATCCCCATTATAGATGAGCAGATGGCAATCTGTGATTTACTCACACCATAGACTGAGTGATTAGTGTGGGAAAAGACTACAAGTCTCCAGATTTTTACTCCTGTTCACTTTGCATTCTTTCAGGAGATTATATGTAAATTATTTTGAAGGAGAGGTAGGAGAAATGAAAACTGTTCATTCACTAACCAACTAATTTAAAATTTCAAATAAATTTCCATCATTTCTTCTCTTATTTGTTCTGTGGTAAGACAACATTTTTTCTACACAAAATGACAAATTGAAATATAGTCTTTATATAGATGTCAAAGAGATGCATTCTTTACAGAATGAAAAATACCCATCTAAAATAAATTTTAGAGTTGCTTTGTGTTACGAACAATTTTGTGAGATGAAGGCGGCCCAAAACCTGCAGAGAATAGAAAGCACCTTATTTCTTTAAGAGTGAAAGCTGGCAGTAAACAGTGGAAATACTGAATTTGTTGTATATGTAAGTGTTCAGAATACCAACAAAATCATATCTTTACCAAACCTTTGGTCCTTGGGCAATCCTTTTCTTCCCAGTCTCTCCCTCTGTGGAATTTGGAAAGACAGTCACTCTCTAGACCTCTTAGTATTTTTTTATTTTATTTTATGTTATTTTATTTGTTTTTGAGATTTTATAAAGGCTTTATTTGTCATACATGTGCCAACCACTGGAAATAAATTAAGCAGAGGTAATGGTAAATATATTTTCAGATTTTCTTATGATATAAAGCTAATTATACTCTTTATTAGTAGACTTGAACTCTCTAAGGCCATGACTTCAAATTTGTCTAACATGAATAACTTATGCTTTATTAGTAACCCCATTTATTATTTGCTTCTTTAACTTTTTATTTTATATTGGAGTATAGTTGATTAACAATGTTGTGTTAGTTTCAGGTATACAACAAAGTCTGTGAGTCTGTCTCTCTTCCGTAAATAAGTTCATTTCTATCTTTTTAAAAAAAAATTCCACACATAAGCGATATCACACACGATATTTCTCTTTCTCTGTCTGACTCACTTCACTCAGTATGACAGTCTCTAGGTCCATCCATGTTGCTGCAAAGTTCTTTCCAAGTTTCATTCTTTTTAATGGCTGAGTAATATTCCATTGTATATATGTACCACATCTTCTTTATCCATTCTTTCATCGATGGACATTTATTTATGTTGCTCCCATGTCTTGGCTATTGTAAACAGCACTGCAGTGAACACTGGGGTGCATGAATCCTTTCGGACCATGTTTTTCTCCCAGTATATGCCCAGGAGTGGGATTGTAGGATCATATGATAGCTCTGTTTTTAGCTCCTGTTATTTTTAGAGTCTGCTTGTAATTTGTATAGTTAGTTCTCTCATTCATTCAGTCACTCGTTCATTTATTCATTCCCTAAGTACTTTCTGAGTTCCTACTGTGGGTCCTGAAGATATAAAATTGATTAAGATATGATTTCTGTCCTAAAAGATATCTCAACATGGAGAGACATGTAAAGAGAGAAAATATATTGTAATATAATAACAAATAATTGTAACAAATAATTTTGAACAAAATGCTATGGGATCATAAAAGAGAAATAAATTAATTGCCTGGGAGATTGGGGAGATCACCACAGAGCAGAGGACATTTGAGCTGTTGTTGATAATTGTCTTCAGGGTTACCTAGAACAAACAAGTACACGTAAGTAAATGAAAATAACCCTTTTATTATCTATTATTTTTTGGCTGCGTTGGGTCTTCATTGCTGTGCGCGGGCTTTCTTTAGTTGCAGCTAGTGGGGGCTACTCTTTGTTCTGGTGTGCAGGCGTCTCATTGTGGCTTCTCCTGTTGTGGAGCACGGGCTCTAGGCACGTGGGCTTCAGTAGTTGCAGCACATGGGCTCAGTAGTTGCAGCATGTGGGCCCTAGAGTGCAGGCTCAGTAGTTGTGGCACGCGGGCTTAGTTGCTCCATGGCATGTGGGATCTTCGTGGACCAGGGATCGAACCCGTGTCCCCTTTATTGACAGGTGGATTCTTAACCACTGCACCACCAGGGAAGTCCCAACCCCCCCCTTTTTTAAAAATACTCAGAAATTTCCAGCGCTACCAGTCAGAAGCCCGGAACTTATAAAATATGCTGCAGAGACCTGTATTTAAATGTGTGGATGATGTGATTTTGATAACAGTTTCCTGGTCAATCCTGTAAATCTCACATGAAATATACGTGGTTACATCAGACTTTGTATTATGAAGTGTTAAGATAATTTGAAATTCTGTATGAATCTTTATTATGTGTGGGAAGAATAGGGGAATATACTCCTTAGTTACTACCATCTTCTGTGAAATAGATTTTATTGTACTCTGTAACCAAAATGTTCAGAACACTGTCTCTTAATTTCTTGTCCTTTTTATTTTAACAAAAGAAAACTGCTTTTCCTTTTATAAAGCAAGCTTAGAAACCTTTTATATTTTAAAAAAGTCTTTTTTAAAACAACTTGAGGGATAGATGGAAATTCTCTCTCTATTGGCTGTTGATGGGTTCAGGTTTCCATCCTATAATTAGGTGTTAGTATCACATAGTGTTCTTTTGTGTAGCTCTCTAAGGGAATTCAGTTTTTAAAATAAGTTTTAAATAAACCTACATGAAGCTCCATCTTTAACAGACAAAGCTGATATAATATTTCTCTCATCTGGGCTTTAGAATTCAGGCTCACTATAAAAAGCAAATCTTAATTTTATGCCATGTCTCCTTTCTTTCCCAGTAATTGAAGTGCTGAATAGAGGTGTACTTCTCTGGAATATTAATGGAGTTACCTCATTTTAAGAAAGTGTTTTTCATTTTTTAAATGCCTGTCCACTTTTGATAAACATAAAAATTCCATGTCTTTAGCATTATTTGAAATTTCAAACCAAAGCAAAGCCATGGTAATTTTAGAATGATGTGTTTATATTGATCTTGGAAAAAATATGTTATTTTTTATCTCTATTTATTTAAAATTTTTATTTAAAATGAACATTTGTTTTTATTTATTTCTTTGTTTTCTGCAATAGAAATGTGAACTTTGAGGATGCTTATTAGCCATGAGCTTTTCTATTGTAGGCAGTGTGGGACGTGCAGTGGTAAACCATCATACTCTGTCCTTTGTCATTTTTATAGTTCATTTCAATGTATAACTCATCAGTAGGATTGAAAGCATTTAGAAGATGAATGTATGTTTTTCATATTTAATTTATTTCCAAAATTCTGTAACTAAGCCAGGGAACAAAGTGCCCTTTCCTCATTCACTGACTAAATTTGGTTTATATATCTAGTGATCAAGGGGTGGGAGATTTTGTGATGGCAAAAGAGCGTGGGAAATGTAGACTGAAAATAATACCGCAGACTGAAGAAGGAGGAGGAAGAGTGGGGGGGCGAGGGGGTAAAGGAAGATATCAGACTAGGTGTGGGCATCAATCACTGGCTGTATGATAAGACAGCAGCTAGGGATTGGGGTACAACATGTCAGAGATTGACCTGGTAAGCACAGTTGTGATCTAGGGACAGCTTGGAGTAAGTTGCATGAAAAGGAAGTATTTCAGAGTTTTGCCTTAAATGATCTAGGGTAGCAAGGAGCTTTTCTTGGTAGCTTCCGGGGAAACTGTCTGCTGGTGCCCTTTGTAAGCAAATGGCATAGAAAGTGAGTCTGTCACTGGTACTGCCTGTTTCCAAACAGGAAATATCTTAATATTCAGTTTATAAAATTACATAATATTGTTCTTATTGTAAAAATGCCCCGAATTTAGGGAAAGTTAAAAGCACAAAGTGAAGGAATCCCCCCCTCCCCTGCAGGCCTGCCTGCTCCAGTCCTACTCCTCATCTAAGGGTGTATAAACATATATTATTATATTTACATAAATATGCCTCAGTAATATTTGGCATCCATCTTTTGATATTCTTACACTATTCTTGTAGTGTTTGAAGCTTTTCTGTCATGTGGAAGTTCCTAATACATTTAACAAATCCCTTATTGATAGACATTTTATTTCCTTCAAAAGTTTTTGCTTTAATTTAAAATGATTCACTAACATTCTTGTCCATATCTTTGCGCTGTTGTACATGTGATTTAGCTGTGTAAATGCCTAGAAGTATAATTGCTTGGTCTTCAAGTTTATGGATTTATAATTTGTGATAGGTATTACATAAAGTTAGTACTAGTTTATACTCTACAGTAGTAAACACTATTCTTGATTGTAGAACTATGCTGGCTTTGGGGATTTAGAGAGATAACCATGTACTAGACTAAGGTTGTAACTATATCTATATTGATATATTTCATAAGTTAGGAAGGGGGAGTACTTTAGCTCTGATATGTTTCTAATTACTTTAATCCTTCAGACTTGAAACCATATTTTGGAGTTCAAGAAATAGTGTTTATATGAGTAAGTATAAAGAATTATACTTTTGGGGCTATGTTTCTGGAAGGTGTGGAAAGAAAGCAAGTTTATTTTCTAAGAGCACAGTGTGGTTTACTTTGATGTTAAATGTC